TCCTCTGTTTCAAAGGTAACTGTCAACTGAAGATCAGTACCAAGAGCAGCTCGCATTCCGGTAGCCTGAATTGAGTTAGTTAGGAATACAGTATCATGAGAAGCCGTTATTTTAAAACCGGTGCAATCTACCAAGTAAGCTAACAGATGCAATCCACTGCAAATTGTTCATTATTTCACGTTCAGCAAAGAACTCAAAGTTTGACTATGATTTCTGGTCATCAGTGCAACACACTCATAGCAAGAAGTCATTTGGATAGCGTTTGAGTACGTTTTTTTTAGAAACAGTATATCAGTAGCAGTTCGATCTTTCATAAAAACGTACCTGTCTAAGCTTGGGCAAGTAAGCGTCAATATTCCGGATTTTGTAAGGCACAGTAACCAATATGCCATTAAGGTCAGGTCTAGACCTTTTTATAATTGTTTCACGAAGGACTTGGGATACAGGGAGATTCAGAGCCAAGGTAAAGGCAGTAGCGTCGTACGGTGACTCTTTGAGCTTCTTTCCTACAGTTTGCGCTACCTGAATGGATAGTTTTGAAGTGACTTCATAACTTGACATTTTCCTATATTTCTCAACTAAGTATTCATGTTTTCGGTAGAAAAATACAGTATAAACGGTATCTTGGAAATCTGTTCCGCGTGGCGGTTTGCTGATGTTTGGGGAAAGATAGTCTGTATGTTATGGTTGTGGAGCAAATTTAGAAGAAAAGCAATGCAATATGCTTGATGCAATCATTATGTGAAATTCAGAAAAACTCGTACAAAACAGACCCGACTGGCAATGATAAAGATGTAAAACAGATTTACGGAAACCGCACCTCTTCAATGAAATTCTGGTCGAGCATTCCAAGGCAGAGGACGCATTCATATGGTTCGGTGACATTCTGCACATCGGTTGATTCTCCGGCGATTTGTCTACAGCAAAGGGGACAAAATCGAAGCGCAGGCCTCCTTTCTTCCTTTTCAGAGGTTGACATTCAATCTTGTTATCCCTATTTTGTATTTTACATTAAAATGCAACATATCTAGAGTGCAAGGAAAGAAAGAAAGGAAATTAGGATCTGACTTCTTGCTGGACATAGCATCTCAAAAAGCGCGCTCCAATCTGCTTCCTTGTACGAGTACATTGAATGAACGGCTGGAGAAGTTTATTCATAGCTCTGCACGCTTTCTCTTCCTACACTTTGCAAGCATCTGCTAGTCTCATTAGTCTCCAATTCCCTTCACTACATATCACCTTTGTTAGACAAAAACGAGTATAGGCTTCGTAGGGGACAGACAGCAGATGAAGGAGGAGCTTACGTTGGTACCATCGTCATTGGTCTCAAACCGATGATGCTGCTCACCCTTTAATAGTGCTTTTGTTTTTTTTTTGCATAAAGTATTTACACAGCACTTCTTAATTATATCTTCTTTTAATGTGCCTTGTAGATGTACTTTTTAAATTTTGATAGGCCAGGGGGTGCCTTACTTCCAAATGGAGTTCCTTAGTAGTTTTCGTTGTTTTAATGCTCTTCTTCGTTTTTAGGCAAATTCTGTTTTAACCTTTTGGCTTTATTTG